TATATATATAAGCATTTCGTCTCTCGATACGAATTTAGGCAGTTTCTGCTAAGTAAGCATACCCAGTATTTATATATTACTTTTAATATATATTCAATAACTATATGCAATGCTTTTTTATGTTTCTCCAGACAAACTTTTAATAGAATCAGTTATATATATATTGCAGATTTTTTTTAAAGAACAAGTATTATTTTTAGATATCGTAAGTAAAGAAAAAAAATGTTTGGTTCAGGTTATCGTTCTCCTTATTACGCTTAAAAACAAGTTTTCAAACTTCTACTTTTTTATTGGTAATTTTTAGGTGCGTCTTAGGAATTTTGGGTATATTTATTCTCGTTGGAACTGCCTATGATACATTATCATTTTATTACTACAAGAACCGCATGAGGAACAAACGTTCGCCACGAGGTTAGTATGAACAATCTAAATTGGTAAACTTTAAACTGTAGTTAGTGTGCTTAGATAAATAATACGTTAAAAATCATGTAAAGAAAAAAATCAGAACTTAGATATTTCTGTCAGCAGTGAAGCGAGAGATTTTAAACCTATTTCATTGATGAATGAGTCTTGGCTTTGTAGTAACATCATTTCCAATATACTTCTCAGCTATAAACAAATTATTATATCTTAGAAATTCTATTGTTTTTGTTAGTAGCTAGTAACACTTTGAGTCCTAACTGATGAACCTCGTTCTGTAATTCTTTCGCGTTTGAAAACATTTCCCCATGTGAAACGTTTGTGACTGTCTCTTTCTTTTTTTTGTGAAAACACTTCTTAAAATCTGGTAAATATCAAGTTTATTTATCTTCTCGTAGCTCTTGCTGGTTAGCGTTTTCTAATTAAAATAGAAATTAAGTGTGTGTTACTGACAAACTTATTTCATTAATCTTATTTATCCTTGCCTTTAAGTTTAAATACTTGCAGCAGTTGATATTTTAACAACAAGAAAAAACTTCCTAGAGTAGTTCCGGAAAATCCTTTTTAGTGTACGAACTCTTCATGATATAAAATGATAACTTATTTGTAGGATTTGTACTTCAAATAGATAATTGGGCTTATTTCCATTATATATCCTTTGAAAAGTCAAATAAAGAGGTTTTGAGAAGATTAACGTCAAGATCAAAAATAAATTTGTAAAACAATTGGAGTGAGCTATTGGTGTTACATGAACTAATTTACTAAAAGATAAAAACACACTAACAGTTTGAAATGGTAGGAATTAACAGTGGTTAGAATAATAATAATTAAACTTATTAATTTTCCTTCCATTTGGGAACAGAAAGTTTCTAGCACTTCGGTAAACAAAATTATTTAACAGTTTATCTAAAGGATTTGTATATATATATATTTGAAATCTCAAGAAAACTAGAAGCTTCGAAATTCGATTTGATTGCGAATTGGGATTGGGGAGTCGATTCGCTATCTAGGGCTCCGATACAATATTTTCGAATATACATCACTTCCGGTGAACATTAGAATTTAGCTTTTAATTCAGTCTATATACTGGAACCTATTTCCTTGTAAGAACACTTTTGTACCATTCTTCCGCCAGGTGTTTAAGTACATACTCATTACTAGTTGTGGGTAGAAGCACTTTACATAAATAAAGAAACCATTTTCTATTCGATTTAAAATTTAATTCAGCCTATATATCCTATAATATATATATGCACAGCCGATTCGATTTGATCCGAATATTTCGATTCGAATATTTTTTTATTTTTTTTATTTACAGGGCACTACTAGAATGTGAAAACGTTATTAGCATTTTGTCACTGATTTTAGGCTACATTCACGGAGTTTGATACTTTACTAGAAAGGGTTTTGTCTTGTGAAAGTGACCTGAAAAGTTATTTGTCATTAGAAACTTGTTAAATGTATGCAATTGAATATAATGAATTATCACAAGATTCTAGATTGTTGTTTAGATAGGCCATCATATTATTATTATTTACTATGGAAATTTACCTGCAAACCACTTCTTTTCAGGCACATTTACCAGAATATTGATATCTCTGTCAGTTAACAGCAACATCTCCAAAATCTTAGAAACCACGACATCTTTGGACAAACTACAGGCATTGCACGGTCTCAGAGCTCTCAGTATGACTTGGATTATTTCAGGCAACATCTTTCTGTGTATCAAATACCAGATTTTCCGTACGTGTGGTTTAACTATATTGTTTAAATGTGATTATTTTTTAAAAAAAGTTATTTTTTGTATTGAATATTTAATAAATAAACATGTATTTTCTATGAATATCAGCGTGTAGAGTATATAACAGTTAAGACCAATAAATGTTTAAAAAAAACGTAAAACTTTGCTACTCTATTGACCAGGTTATGGTTTGTTTAATGCATGGTCTTACATGTATTAAAATATAATGCACTTAAAGCTTATATATTAGATATGATCATCATCTCATTAACAAAACGTATTTAATTGACCCCCTTAAACCTAAAAACACTCCTGAAGACATATTCCTTCAGAAAAGGCCCGGCACAGCCAGGTAGTTATGGCGCTCGACTCGCAATCTGAGGGTCGTGGGTTCGAATCCCTGTCCCACCAAACATGCTCGCCCTTTCAGCAGTGGGGGCGTTATAAGGTGATGGTCAATCCCACTACTCGTTGGTAAAAAGAGTAGCCCAAAAGTTGGCGGTGGGTAGTCTTACTAGAAAGATGCGTTAACGATAACATAAATGTTGTTTAACTAGGACCCTACAGTAATTCTTTCTTTTTTTCTTTTTCTGTGCAAAGCTGTTGTTGTTCGCTATTAAGCAACACAGCTACAGAAAGGGCTATCTGCGCTCTGCCCACCACGGGTATCGAAACCCGGATTCTAGCGGTATAAGTCCGCAGACATGCCGCTGTGCCATTGGGGGCAATTTTTTTGTTTATTGGTGAAGAAACATTCTCATATGACGTTTCTCAACTCAGGCTGAAAAGAGAGACAAAACTGCTACGCCTGTATTATTTTCTAAAAACCAATTTAATAGCCCTTAAGATAATTCAGTGTTTCACTTATTTCACAGTGGTTAGACAGTTTTCATAAAGATGTAAAATATCTTAATCGATAAAAAAGTTTTCATATTTGATAACGTTCGAAGAAACTGTGGTAAACTTTAGTCAGTAGCCTTTATGTCTCGGAAATTACACAATACATATTCAGCCGAGATAACGTGTTGGGTTAGCGCACAAGTACAACACAATTCAAATGTTTATTCGTAGTTACAGTTTATTCACAGTAAAAAAAAAAGTGAATTAAATTCCACTCAAATCAGTACACGACCGTATTGGCAAGTCTAGTATAACTGTATAACAATAGCACTCGTAACCCAACTGAAAAAAAAACCAACAACAAAAAACAGCATGACTAGTAAGTGACTTTAGTTAGAGTCATGGCAAATGACTTGTGTTATATTGATAATCAAAACGTTCTACTTCTGCGTAAAATTACTTTTATTCATTTTAATCAAACGCTAAACCAATTTGGGTTACCTCTTTTCGGCCTTAGTTGTGTTCCCCTAAATTCCCAAGGCTATCTCTATTATATATAAATAATAGTTCATCTAATAAATTTCAACATCAATTATACTGTAGATCTCTGTAGTTTACATATACATGTTTCGGCGTGAGTTTTCTAAAAGATAACAGAATTCAAGTTTATTTGTTTTTAATTTCAAAACCCCTGACAACGAACTATCAATCAATCGTAACAGTTCATTTTCGTAACAATCTATTATGTAAACATAATAGATTGTGTTAAATCACATTTCATTGGTCATTATCACCAGAACACTGAGGTGATTGTTGAAGGAAGGAAAGCCTGTATTAAGGTCGGTTCCAAACTTTCCAACCATCTAATAGAAGTAGAAGAAACAGTATTAAAACCATCTTATTTATACTGAGTACTTGGTGTTAGAAATAAGAGATACACAATAATAAATAATATTAAAATAAAGAATAACAGTGGTTGTTACAAGCCAGCTGCTCCCTCTGTGGTCAGAGATTCGATATTAAAGGCAGCGTCACGCTACCTGCATTTTAGCACTAATAAACGTGCTGTGATAAGATTCCATAATTGGAAGAAGGAGAATCTGTGCTTTGGCCGGTGCTAAGCTCCTCTAGTGTGTAAAACCAAATCAAGTCAAATCATATGGATTCTGAGCTGTATTGTTAACTAACACTGTGGGAAATTGACACAATTACTTAACCATTAATATCACCAAACTACACTTTACATAAAAGTACATATTTTTTTCAGAATTGGTCTCTGTAAACTAAGTTGTTACCCACAAAATTGTTTTACGCTAACATATTACCAATTATCTTTAACTAAGAATAAATGCTTATAAACCCGTTAAAGCCAACTTAATAATATATATTTATTATACACTAAACATAGGCCCCCAGTGGCACAGCGGTATGTCTGCGGACTTACAACGCTAGAAACCGGGTTTCGATATTGCAGCTCTCAGCAGTTGTCCTGTAAAAAAAATAAATAAATAAATGTAGTGGGTTTTTTTCACGTCGGTTTTACATGGGTAGCGTTTCTAACAATTCAGAATCTTATAAAGCAGTATTTTTAGTTTAATTAGGCTAAAAGGTTTAAGCTTACCTTTAGTTTGTACTCATATCTGAAAAAGATACTTTCTTAACGAGAAAATATGGCTAATAACTGAGATTCCCCATGATGAAAAATAAGAACAACTATATAGTATTCTCAGCTTTAATATACAAAGGAAAGAAACAAGTAGTTAATACAACGTTGAAATGAATTAACGCCAATTTCATATTGTTTATTTTACGACTTGCATCCTACCTATATTTAGTGTTGTTGTTGATGTTTGTAGTTAAGCACAAAGCTACACAAAGGGCTATATGTGCTCTGCCCACCACGGAGTTTTTCCGGTGAATTGGCTTTTCAGCCTTTCCTTAGTTCAACTCTTGCACTAGACACTTTCTTCCTTTCCAGGTAATTAAATACGTACTTTTCAAATAAAGTATATTTGTTCTGATGTAAATAAACATTCATAGTTTGGTTCTGATATGATCTCTGCTTTGATGTGAAAGTCGCTTCATGTTTCCGAATATTGAAGAAAGAATAAAGGAAGCATAAAATTTTGAAAAGGAGTAACTGTAACAAGTAACCGAGTTCAGTAAATTAATTTGATATCTCGTGTTTTTTTGAAAAGTTTGTTTTAAGCTCTAGTTACCATCAGAATTTCAATTCCCGCTATGATTGGATAAAAATTAACTCCACTCCTTTGAGCAGTTTTTTGTTTAATTGAACAACACGTCCGTAGTGTAACTGCATCTAACCAGTTGATTTAAAAACATATAAGCACACGACTTTTAATGAGAAATTCTGCACATTGTTTGGTTTTGTATGATGTCTAAGTAAGAATAAATTCGTATGAGCTGAATGGTTTTTCGTTATTGATGAATACTATAAATGTGTCTTTATTTTTTATCAGTACAAAAATGTTCTAACAGAACAAGCTGCTTTGAACATTAATTGTGAATTTTTCTTTTCCTCACTGTAAGTCTTAACTTCAAACAAATTACTATGAAAGTGTCTTTATTTTTATTACCGAAATAATTTTCCAAAGAACAAGCTACAATGAACATGTCAAAACTTTGTAGAATGGACAGCAACTGCATGTTGTAGAGACACAAGTGTAGAGGACGACGTTTCGAAAGTTTTCCGCCTTTAAGAGTAAATAAAACAAAAATTAAGAGTAACAAATATTTTTATTTCTTGCTTTATAAGTTCATATGTCATGCTGTGTTGTAGTCTACAGATTACATAATTATTCTCATGATTCATAGCATGGGCACATTTTACTGACGTCACGACAATACAAACTGCAACGTTAAGCGTCCCTTATGTGATGTCATTTTAGTGTCTACTGACTGACTGACAGACAATACATTACTGTATGGCGGAAGACTTTCGAAGTGTCGTCCTCTACACTTGTGTCTCTACAACAGGCAGTTGCTGTCCATTCTACAAAGTTTCATCATGAATACTCTGCCTAAACAATCTATCAAAGAATGAACATGTCTTTTGTTATTCTCATTGAAAAAATTGTCACAGAAAAAATCATGAGCATGTCTTTAGTTTTCTCGCTGCAAAAATGTTTTAATTCAAGAAACTACTACGAGCATTCATTATAGATTTTTCTTTTCATTACAAGTATATGTAACTTTGGCAAAATTATTATGCACAACCCTTTACTTTTTTCTCACTAAAAGAATGTTTTCCGTAGAAACATTAATACGATCATATTTTTCTTGTGACATATTATATTGTTTTCACTCTAAGAATAGTTTTGTAGAACAAACTACTATGAGCATATATGTATTATTCTTAATGCAAGTATGTTTTCGAAGAATAAACTACCGTGAACACATCTTTATTGTTCTCATTGCAAGAATATTTAGAACAACCTACTCTGAACATGTATTTATTGTAATCACTGCAAGAATGCTTTTACTGAACAAACTATATTATGAACATATATTAATTATTCTTAAAACAAGAAAGGTCTCACACCACAAACTCGTCGCCACAGTTTATGTAAATATGGTTTTTGTTCTGAGATACATTTTGGATAAATAATAAATCATTATCTATGCTTTAAAATTTCATTTTTCTGCAGTGGATTCCTGACAGCGTACGTCATTTTGAAACCAACATATGAATCAGAAAGAAAAATAAGCCTCTTGATGCTCCTTCTTCACAAAATCTACAGGTAAGGCTACTACCTCTCTGCAAAAAGAAAGAAAAAAAATGAAGACACTCTCATAGCCACAAACATCTATTAAATCAGAAAAACAAAACATTTATTATATGCTATTAGTCTTTCACCTAATCCTCCCAATTTAGAAACAGGGTCAAACGTGGCTTAATGGTTAGCATGCCGGACTGTGAATCAAGGGATTCATGGTTCGAGAACCATTACCACTATGGTCAGGTGTTTAAGGAGCTCGACTCGCAATCTACGGGTCGCGGGTTCGAATCCCCATCACACCAAACATGCTCGCCCTTTCAGCCGTGGGGGCATTACAAAGTGATGGTCAATCCCACTATTCGTTAGTAAAAGAGTAGCCCAAGAG